GACAATCGAACTCACCATGCAGCACATTTTCTATGACAAGTATTCCATGATGATCACGAACACGTCCTTTGTGAGGCAGTTTGGCACCGCCGGCATCCGCCCATCTACCGTGTCCTCTTGGTGATGCATGGTAAAAGCATGGGATCGACTAAAAAGACCACTACTTAATGACAGGATGAACTGGTACAGTGACACTGTAAGACTTACCACAGAGCTCCCATTAGTGGCGAATACTTTCCTGGGCATTGACTGACGTGGGAAAACCGGTGGCGAGTCCCGAATCTGGACATAAGCTGACGATGAAGCTACACCCACTTCATTACTGACAACGCATTGATATACTCCCGTATCAGAAGCGATTGTGGCGTTCACCATCAGCCTGGAATCATTTCTCCTCATTTTTGTTTTCAAAGAGGCAAATGTTAGAGCACACCTGGTTTGATCAACATGAAAACGCTTCCTTTGCTCTGATGGCATCAACAAAGGCACGATCGGCTTGGCATCCTATAAAAATATTGGTGAAATTATAGTACAAATCAAGACAAATCAAAACTAGTTATTGAGAGGGAAAGTTAAAAGTTATTTCTAATTAAAATTAAGTCTAAATCGGATCAATTGATTAGTCTTGAGTCGAGAGAAAACTGAAACTGTTTGTAGTGACCAAAAAAGATGTTTTAGTTCATATCCAGCACAGCCAAGAACTACGAGGAACCACCGTAGTGGACTGGGGCCTGAAATCCACTGTGCAACTCCGAAATCCGCCGTTAAGTTTGCTCAAAAGTTCCATCAGTTCAAGACGTTCTATCGGAGGTGTATTTCTATTTCCTGTCACTGCCTTCCTACACTATACATACATTTCTTCCAACTAGTTGATACCTCGCTTGTCCACCTCACCCCCATACCCTCCCCCTCCTCCCCGCTTGTCGTCGCTAAGAAATATTCTCTTTGTTTGCCATTGTTGCAAAATGATCACCGCATCACCCAGTGATGGAAGCAGTGGAGTTCCAGGCTCAAGGGAAGCAACCACAAAGAGTCTCAAGAAGAGGTGGTAGGACGTGATAAGTTTGGGTGACGTGATCAAGAATGGGACCTCACAAGCAACAGATGATTCTCTAGAGAGAAGGAAATGGAGACGAAAGACAAGAATAGCGGACCCTGGTGATGGCGAGGGATTTTCACCTTTTATTTCCTCAGCACCTCTAGAGGCTTTGTTCACGCTGAATATGGAGACTGCACGTGATACTACTGCTGATTTTGCTTCTTCAAGATCTAGTGAGTCCTGCACATTTAAAGCCAGTAAGGGAAAAATATCCCGAAGAGTTAGTCGAAACAGAACCCCATTCCGCTTTAACTATTGGTAGATTCCCTTTCCACAGCACAGCTACTGCCTGAGAGGTCAAGGAGTGAGGTCACCGTTTGGAGAAAGATCTCTGTGCGTCTACATCAGTGCCCCTAATGGGAAAAGAATCGCTGATTCAGACGGTTAAATGGCCTCGAAAACTACTTAGTTGCCCCACTAATCCTGATTCGTATAAACTTTCTTTGATTTCATTCCGTTGAATTCATAATGAACCCCAGCCTTTTCTTCAAGTAGTAAAATTACCTTGAACCATTCCACAGAAGAGTGTGAATCCATAGTAGGAAGGGGACATTCCAGAGTGAATTCATATGACGAAGCGACCAGACGATCCGAAAGTGGAATGATGATCGTAGGAGGAGCTGAAAAACAGCTTTTTTCGCAATGCCAGAACATTGCGAAACGAAAATAATGCATTTTTCAGCAGTCTACTCAAATTTGTCGCTGATTTGGAATACCCTCTTTGGAAACTAGCAGTTGTCTTTCCCACTTGGGTAGCATTACCCCTGACATCCGGAGAAAGTTGCCCTGAGGACTCATCACTGCGAAACTAAACTCATGCTGTAAATTGTCCTGCTCGAGGACATTCCAGTTCCCAATTACCATCGGTAATGCTACTATATTTTAACCCTATCGCCGCTGGGCGTGGCGATCTGGACCAGATCCTGAGCAACCAATGAGAGGCGTGTTAGGTGCCGCCCTACACCAATCTCAGGAAGCTCCGCCCATTCCCCTCGCATTTTTCGCATTGTTTATTGGTCTAAATGAGATTCAGACCGGTTTTACTCACACGCTATGCTACACAAAAGGTTCAAGACATTATTGAGCGATAGATCTGGATCACACTGCTGCAAAACTTACTTTTTAGGGTCAGGGTGACTTCCCTTGCAGCCACACCAAGCGAATTTCCAGCTGAACACTTGTATCGGCCGGCATCAGTCACTTCAGCGTGGTCTATTCGTAAAACTCGTCCATAATGCATCAGCACTGCTTTTTTGTTCACTCGTCTCCCATCCACACGCGTCCATTTGTAGATCGGTATCGGACTGAATCGTATTTGTTAATATGTTCGATTCACAATAAATTTTTTGGATCAAATTTAATTAATGTCAAAGTTGAGCGATGTTTTTGGCACGTCACTTAACACATTAAGAAAGAAGTGGTGACGGAGAACCAGATGGTGCAAAAGCCCCTTCCGGAAGTAAAACCTGCTAGAAATCCAGTTTCGATATGATGGCTAATTGGCGCCAATAAATTAATTATGAGGAGTTCCGCTCAGTGTAAAGCCAAACGATAGAAAAGTCCTCAATGCTGGTCAATTTTATTCCGGCGTTTGATTCTTCTTTTATTCAGACTAGTAGGGGACCGGTATTCTATCGGCTCGATACTACTGCACCTCATGATCCACCAGAAAGGCAACTCAATATTTGATGTGGAACCAACCAATTAAAAGACCTCATGACCCCAGCTAGATGACAACCCATGTACTACAAAGTTTGCAAAAATGGTGTCGATCCCAGCATCGTGTCCAGGTTGACAGGCCGACTGGAGGAGAATCCTTGTCACAGCAACAGTTGGTGAAATAAGGAAAGAATCCTGTTATATCTCCAGGATGTTACCCAGGAACGACGGACGGGACTCCCGCCCGAGTTCTGTAGACAGTATGGGAGGGAAGTAGGAGAGGAAGAAGAAACGAATGACAGCCCGGGTAGGTTCGAACTATGATCGATGGGTGCGGTAACGGTGAGATTAGAAACTGTCAAAACTCTCACAATGATAAAGGTGCTCAGGCTATCGTAGAGCAAGCACAGGCCCACTTATAGGATCGTCATGCCTGATCCCCTGTATTCAAAATGATTCGGACCATGAACCTTTGAAAACGGTGGAAAAACAATCTGGCGGAGTTACTCCTTATACTTTACTGGCTGGGGGTTTGATCTACTGGAGCGGAGAAGGGACTATGTACTGGCAACGAATAACATCTCGTAGTACTGGATTCGATAGGATTTCTTCATATAGTTGAACTTTATCCCTTTGAAGCTATTTGGTTTACCTGGATCTGCCCAGAATTGGTGGAAACACTACTTCAAATACAGTTTTGCTTGTGAAGACCACTGTACAAATCAGATAGTTGTTCAAGTACTTTTACGCTTTTTATGTGCTTATGAAAAGGGGATGCACGGCGCATCCGGAAAAGTTCAAAAAATCGAGCAATCTGATCTTGCCATTCCTCGAATTATAGATTGAAGGGACCTAGCACTGAATCGCTTTGTCGGGATAATTGGCAACTAAAAAAATGTCTGGCCACGGTTAGCCGAAATGGTTGAAATTTAAGAAGTCATTTTTTCGCTTTGGAATTGGAATGCTGAAATCCAAGATGTCTATAGACTATGGATTGGACCCCTATTGCTACCTACCGGAAAACGATGTACTCAAAATTGGCGTTGAAAAAAGAAGCGGAACTCACTTTCCATAGGCGAAACACTCCAGATATACGGTTCCGCCAACAGTTGGCGATTCGGGAAAGACCTGTGGTTGAGCTGAGTCGATTCGAGGGGCGAATGGGATATCCTGGGAGTGGGGCACGTTAAGTTGAAAGAACGGACCATAATGACCGGACTGAGTGGACGACAACGACAACGAGCAAGCATAGCTGAAAAAATTACTTTGATTCTTGGTACCTGCCATACAATCCATTAACAAAGAAGTCTGAACTATGACTGTCTCATCGTTTGAAAATGATGGCTATAAAGACAAAATGTGAGGTGAGGTACTGATCGATTATTTTGTGTGCGCCATGAATATTGCTTTTACGCGAGAAGTTTTTTTTTTCAATGAAATGCTCACATGTTCAATTTCGGAGATATTTAGAGAATTTAGTATGATATTTTGGTGAGTTAGTAAAAAATTGAATTATGCTAGATCAAATTGCCCTGCTGGATCCGAGACAAGCAGCCTAAAAGATACTGGATTCGCCAGATGGGAAGCAGTTAGGATTACGAGATCAGAGCCGTAGCTGGTAGCCGTAGTAATCCACATTCAATCCATTGGTAGATTATTATTTTTAACCTTTAATCCAACTATTGTACAAACAAGCCATATCCGGAGCTATAGGCAGTGGTCTAGACGGGTTCAGGTTTTCTGATGCAATGCCCCACACCACCTTGGTCTCCGTTAATGAGAATCGTCATCAAATTGATGGGGGAACAATCACCAACGCACCGCTGTCATCCCACATCTGTCACGATACCATGAAAACAAAGACTGATCTATAAAAACACAATCCTTTCACTTGTGGAATTTTCTTTGAATACGGGAATTTAATGTGGGACTCTTCCGGTACACTGGGATCCGAAAACGGTCAAGTGCACCAAAAATGAGCTTCAAAAAGAATATAAGGGGTAAATCAAAAGAGCACTGCCAATCGTACAAAAACTGAAGCCTCCCTCTGATTCTAAGAAATCTTTGAACGAACAGCTTTGTTGATAAGTGATTTTGTCAGGACGCGCCCTGCACCCAACACTTTCAGCGATATTTGTGGAACCCCTTCAATGCCTGGTAGGAGCAGGTATTGACTGCCACAAGTCAGCCTTCACAAAATATAGAAACTTCCGTTCTCTTCCGTAAGCAGCAGAAAAAGAAAAATCGGTCAGGTCACATGGGACTCGATCACGGCTATAATTCTGTTACGATGCGGCGCCTCGAACCACTGCGCCAAGTCTAGTCATTTCAAAGTGGTCAATGGATTGTGGCACTCAAACACCATCCCTTTCGTGCCTGTTACGGTGACACTGGGGTTTTTTTAATAGAAAAATCTCAAATAACTGCCTTGTATTCGAACAATTATAATCACCTCGTTTCATCGTCTTTCGTGACATAAGAAAAATACAGTGTGCCATCTAAAGAGACCAACGATCGTTCCGTGTTTGAAAAAATCCGTTCAGTTGATGAATCATACAACCATAGAAACGAATACGACTCTGAAAATCTAGGGTTTTAAATAAAATGTCCTTGGAAAATTTTAAAAATGAATACCTTACCTTTTGTAAATAATTTTTGGCCACATATAGCATAGTAGTATAGATTTCTACAGGTATAGAAGCAACAAAAAAATTATTAGGTGATCAGCATGTAAGCCACGTGAAAGTAGTGAAAGCTGAGCGGGCCCATAGATCTGATCGGAAAGAACCGAGAACAGAGCCAAGGGTTACTGTGTAGTGATGGTGACGGTGATTGCAGCTAAGCTTTGTGGGCGTTAGATGCGGAAAGCAGAAGGAGATCTATGAATATCACAACGAGCGGTGTTGATGAACGGACACGGCTAAAGGACGAAGCACAGAATGTGTGCGAGTGCTCTACGTGGGTGAAAGGCGACGTGGTGCAACGTATGGTGGTGCTACGTGAAATGGTGAAATTGGCGTGAAAACAGCACAACGAAGCGTGAAATCATAGGAGAAGGCAAACTGAAAAACGTGGAGTGGGTAGCGGAAATCAAACCAAAAAAGGATTTCTTAAAAAAAAGGATTTCTTAAAAAAGATGGAAGAGGCGGAAAAAGTAACAGGCACATTCCTCAAAAGAAAAGCTAATACTACTGGTAAGATGGACACAATAGGGCTGTCTTCTCGGGAGCAGTAGAGAGTAGTGGTAGGAAGAAAGTTTGAAACGACCATGCCCAACAAAATCCTAACGGTAGTTTTGAAGAGTATGTGAAACTATCTATGAGATTCCTACTCCGCTGATAGAGTGCCACTGTGGTAAGTAAGAAGATTAAGAACTTCCAAAGGAGCAACTTCATCACCATCTTGATCATTACTACTGATACGAAGTGATATACTGTTGTAGAAGATAGTAGTGAGCTATAACCAAAAACGATTCATTACAAATAGAGGGCTGAAGTGTGCAATAACATAGAGTTATCGGACAGCAACAAAAGGTAGTTAAAATCGACATGATCATTGAAATTGATCGGTCAGAACCAGCTCGGATGATCATAAATATACGAGCTCTAGCCGGGACAACAGAACTTATAAGTTCCAGTTGTGAGATAAAACCCATATTACACAATTTGGTCAAAATTGGAGTGCCTCACAAGATCTACCAATCAAAATTCTCTAGAAAATTGAGAGGAATCAAATCTCTGAATAAACGGCCTATTTCGAATTACTTTGATGTCGCTGCATTACTAGATGCAAACGTTAGCCACTTTTACTTTCTTTTTCATAAAAGTTTTGAATCCTGGAGAGTTCACCCCACCTCTGTGGAGTTCGGTACTAACGAATTTTCTGAAACAAACGAGCTCCCAGGAGGAAAGGGATACCACCAGTCCTGCTCAGTCTGATTCTAAAAAAATTCTGAAAACCAGAAATCCACTGGAAAGTAGATCTTCACCGTACCTCCGGGTCCCAGACAGATCTTTCGATTTTCAACTGAAGGACGAAGAGTTCTGACTGATATACTTTGTGGGGAGAATGGATTGAGTGAATTTACTGGATCATCTATTGACTTAGTGATTCAATTGTTTGTATTGCAAAAATCAAGGCCACTGATTTGGCTGCGATAGTTTACTGAGAAGGCACTTTTTGTAAAGTGGTGAAAGCTAAGAATTTGAGGCAAAGCTGCTGCTCTCGTGCGGAATGAGAAAAAGAGAAAGCAGAAATGAAGTTCACCCTCAGCGGCTACGTAACCAAGGGCTAGAGAATCGTGCAACCACGCTGTCATAGGTGAAAGTTCTGTAAGTTTTCGAAATTTAAGGAAGGAGTGAAATAGAAGACTTGAAGGCTAAGGAACAGCTACACCGTAGAGAGCCACAGAAGAACGGATTGAGAACTGATTCAGCCGGCGTCGGCTACGGAACCAACTGGGCTAAAGGTGAGTGCGAGTGCAAATTGTGCAATGATGCGAGTGCATTATATGTGTGTATTTGTGATTAAACAGAGGATGGTGATAGTGGGTGGGTGAAAAGGCGATGGTGCGAGTGCTGAACTACTTGTGGGTTAGTCGCTAGAATTGTTAGTTAACATTGAACAGCGGTAATCGGAATCGGACAGCTGGACATACACGATGACGGACAAACATTCACACGCAATACGGCGTGTGATTTGATACGAAGGCGATTTTCGGGATTCAGTTGGCTAAGGCGGAGACTATGACTACTGGCGGAGATTTGTGACGATCGTCACCACCACGAACGGCCGATGGTGCCGAAGGCAGTGGCGGTGATGATGACGGCGATGACGGACAGGGCTAAATCAACACAATCTCTCTAATGAAAGCGACATGCGAGATTAGCGATAGACGAGCGCAAAAAGAACGACGAACGAATCAGTTCAACGAGGAGAAAACGAGAGCGAAGGCAAGTGGGATGAAGATAGGATGGAGCTGGACGAGGTATACGAGGAATAGAGCGACAGTGTTAATGCAACGCGAAACTCAAACAAAGGCTGAGAGTAGTGGCGCGCGCGATGGCGGTAGCTCAACAACATCAGCCGCTGTATAGCCCCTCCGCTATGGATACGTAAGCCGCTTGTGACAACATACCGACTTCAAGAGGCTCTCAAGCTTTAGTCCACGGCATTGTAGCCAGTTGTGGTCAGATTAGATAAATATAGCCAGGAAAGGAGTCTAAAGAGATGCAGGGCTTGGATTTGGATGAAACAAGCGCCACTGCCGCAATAAAAGCGACGAAACATCGAATTCATGATGCAATCGAGAGAGCTGTCCTGTTAAATTCGTTTAAATTAGCAGTCATCTGAGTAATCAAAAACTAACGATTGTCTGCTGACCATAAAAAGGAAAACGGGATTGCGCCATGCACCATACTGCTATTAGGATCTTAGCTGTCATTAAATGGATACTTGCTCTATACTACCAACTTCTGGAGCCAGCCGATCGGAAGATTTTGGTGTCTAGTCAACTGTTGTTACTCCGTCGCGAGGCTACGTGGGCTCTCGGTTGTGTAGGGAATAAAAAGATAGGGGTTCGAGTCCTGTCAGGGGCCAAAGTTTTGCCCACAAATCGCCATGCTTGTGAAATGGAAAATTCACTGATTTTCCTACACATTTTAGTCCATCTCAAATTAATTGGCTTAGAAAAATGTAAAACATCTCGAGCATGGGTGGAATTCGATCACTGGACCTTACTTGTAGCAGCGGTTCCCACTTGCTCTTTCGTTATTTCTCATATATAACTTGTGGATAGGTTTGAGTCGGAGACCTCTAGGTTACTCCAGGCAAGTAGGAAGAAGCTCGTGACTTTCATTAAATTAGAACCTCTGATTCGAAAAGAGGGGGGTCTTTTTAGATAGCCTACCAACTATGAAAAGAAAATAAGTAAAACAATGGGTATATTGGAAGTAATGGATACTACTGCTATCTGTCTTTGTCTTGGGACTTTGTACTCGATTCGATCAACAGGTGCTTCTGCTGCATGGAACAAACATGCATCACACAAATGGGAACAGCTGCATAGTGTACTTAGCTGTCTTGTGCAAACTGAAGCTAATTATAAAGGGATAATTGATAGACTCGTAGATGCGCCCACAACTTATCCTGTTGTTGCCCCCCAGAGTAAGCCGAGCGCTGGAATTTGATGCAAAATTACAAAACCTTCGATAGCAGAGAACACTCAGTAACACCTACCACTCCCCCTAATAATCCGAAATCAAGGAGTTCACATGAGTGGTCGATAAAAAGTTTCACGGCCTCTTAAAGGGTTGAACCGGCGACCATCACTACCTGCGGAGACCCTTTTAGTCAAAAGTTACGCCACACTCTCTTTCCCCATGAAGAAGTCCTAGAAAGTAGGCAAATGACCCGTTTAATTTCGGTTTTACGACCGCATTATAACTGCTTACCCACCCATAGAATCTACGAGGATTTCAAGGTTATCACCATTAAATTACTAGGCGGCACTCCGACTTTGTGAAATGATTTCGTTAAAGGTTATTGACCTGGGAGAGGTTATGGCAATGGGCATGAGATGAATGAAATTCTATAATCGCGGGTAATCCTCAGACGAGTAAGACTTTGAATACAACTCTCAGAAAGATGCCAGTTGATCAGTTGACCCGGCAGGGTGGAGGACTGGAACAAACAACGGGCCGACAGGCTCTTGATTGTATGTCAGTTCAAATTATAAGAAATGGAGAGGAAGGGTTAGGAAAGCAGTAAAGCTTTACCAGCTGCCATAAGTTCGGAAAACTCGTCCAGCCTGGACATCCAATCGTTAACAGAATGACGTCTCCTCAAACACTCCTTTTCATAGCAACTTCCTCAGTTACCTCTCTACATCGTTACTGGTGTCGTCTCGATTCTTTAGATGAAGGTCAAAGCTATACCACTCCATAGAGGGATGACTCTTCTAGTCCTACTTTCTTCCCTCAGCTGGTTTCCCAATCACATTGCACATCCCTTTCCTGCTTGGTGGCTTTTTGTAATCCATTCTACTCATTTTGATTGTTCATTTCTAGTGAAGGTCCCTTCGGTGCTGAAGATTCGAACTAATTTCCCAACGGCCGAGGCAAGACGATTGCAGCCAGTTTGTCGACTGAGAGTGTGGGCATATTAGGTATAGAATGCGGAACACAGTAGCAACTAGTGTCTCGACTGGCCGTCTACGTGGGCATTGAAGTGGGAGAGAAGCAGAATAACTACAGAAGCGAAATGGAAAAGTTTTGGAGAAGCCTAAATCGATCAAGCTTTCACTATGACTGAGCCTTGTAAATGAACAAGATCCCAGCAAAGATGCTGGAAGTAACTGGGGGAAGTCTTTGGCAATTTAGCAGACCGCTAATGAGAAGCACTTGAGACAAGGGCAGGGATGTCCCAAATGACATCCTTTTTTCTGTATCCTTTTTGTGTTCGCCAGAAAATTGAAAATGTCATGGGCAAAAAGGAAAAAGGAATCTTAATGGGTTCTCTGGAAATGACAAAATTCTCGAAAGCAGTTTTGCCTAGCCAAATGACAGTTTTTCCGTTGGATAGATGTGGAATTAATTAGAAAGAGAATTAGACGAGAATGAGAAGGTTCTAGATGAACAGGAAAAAAGAAAAATGCAATTTTCAACGAGCTTTCTATACAAAAGAGACAAAAGCAACGAAAAATTAATGTTTTCAAGTTCTGACGCCTAATCCCTTTTCAGGTTCACCCCAAGAGGCCTGCCTCTCGAGCCAGGAGGCCATAATTGAAGCAAGCAGCATGCAGCAATTTGGGTAGGCCTGACCCTAGTAGAAACAGAATTTTTCTGTTAAAAGACTTTGCTACCCAGTTAGACAGTAAAATCAGAGAGCTTCACAAGCTTTGATGGGAAACGACCTGAGGAAGGTTTTAGCCCGAGACTGCTCTCTGAGCTCTTACCATACGTTGTCGCAGAAATTATTTGTCAAGCACAAACTGATCCCGATTCCTATGAGGCCAAGCAGAGAGGGTTTTAAGCTTGGGAACAGATCAATCATTGAAGAATGCAGAAAACAGAAAGACCGGACGAACGATTATAGGCGGTGTCGGAAATCGGAAATGGGCATAGAAAAAGCTTTACCCTTTCGACTCAGATGAATTAACGGCAATACAGAAATAGTTCGAAAATCAGTGAATTTTCCTATAAGGGTATTCAGAGATTGACCACTGTTCTCGATTGGCATGGCGGGTGAAATCCAAAAAAACTTGATATGAAAGTCAGAGAAGCACTCCAGTGTTTGGGCTCTATAGAAAGCCAGAGGCAACAGCTGACTCCGAACTAGAAGCAGCTTTTTCTGGAGGAAAAAAGTAGTAACCAAGTGAAGGCTGAAGTGATGATGATGTGACTGAACGCTAGTGGAAGGACGAGCTGTCGCGGTTTTCGACGTAGATTTGCATATTAACTAGCAATGTGTGCTGGCCGTGCGATAAACATGAAATGTCGAACGGAACAGCCTTGCTGTTATGCTATCGGCCAGCCCGTCCTCTGGAGAATACCGACCAGAGACAGGAACCCCGACTGAATAGCGCATGAGCTTCTTCTGGGACAAGACAAATGGCAAAGGAACGAGGCAGCATAACGCTCCAATGCTGCCTTTGCTGGTGGTGGTGCTGATTNTAGATTTGCATATTAACTAGCAATGTGTGCTGGCCGTGCGATAAACATGAAATGTCGAACGGAACAGCCTTGCTGTTATGCTATCGGCCAGCCCATCCCCTGAGGAATACCGACCAGAGACAGGAACCCCGGCTGAATGTCGCATAAGCTTCTTCTGGGACAAGACAAATGGCAAAGGAACGAGGCAGCATAACGCTCCAATGCTGCCTTTGCTGGTGGTGGTGCTGATTGGCCAAATTCGGAAACGGCTCGTCGTCACATCGTCAACTGGAACCTAATCAGCGGTGGACAACGAAAACAACTTTAAGAAGCAAAGAAATCCAGGGGCTTGGTTCGCCTAATTCCCGTACGTTATGGTGGGGCTGCAAGTTATTTGTCTGTCGGCCGGCGACTTGGTCAGCATATCAATCGAAACACATGTTGTTTAACATTACAACCAGCTGCCGTACATGCAAAAACAATGAACTACTACTTGAAGCCAGACACGTTTCGGCTGCAATCTCAGAAAAAACGTTCGCCCAACATCTGCTGGAGCTAAGCGTAACGAAGCGGGTTACACTCCATGAACACGCTCGTAACCATGAACTCCGATAAGCAGCTGGATTTCGAGGTTTGTGTAAGGCTAGGCCAGGGACTTAACTGGTGTAAAACTGGAATACGAGGGACTGCAAAAGCGCAGTTCCTCATTTGGACGATATTGCCTCTCGTCAGGCTGAGCCCACTTTCAGTTACAGCCAGGGAGTTTTGAGAATGTACCGGAAAGCACGAATTGTTTAGGCAGAGTGCCGCTCGAAAGTCTTAGAGATCACCCAGGCGTCTGGGATTGCGTGCTCTATTCGGGAATGAGCTGAAATTCGCAACCCTAAAGAGGTTCTGGGATAGCACTGTGTACCGTGGCGATGATACACTTACATAATTACTAGTTTCGAAATAGACCTCCCGCTCTCAGATAAGGGTAGACATTAAGCATGAGATGGGAAGCACCACATTAAGCCATTTAGAAATGGCCCCATGAGACCCATCGCCCACTTATTTGCCATTTTATGACATCCTATTTTCAAAACGGCAGAATGACCAGAAGCCACTTCTGAGCTAAAGACACCATTGCCAGTGCGGTTAAAATTCGATACGACATGGTCAACCCTTCAAAAATAGGACGATCTTCGCTCACAGTATCACAAATCGTTATTGAAAAGAAAGTCGCCTGGGGCACTGAGGGTCTACAGTATGCCTAGTGAGCCCTATTAGAGAGAAGTCGTCAAAAAGTCAGACAAGTATGCACTCGGTCTAAACTTCATTAACTAGAGGCTTGACTGAAGTGTCTCCTGCCAGTTCAGTTTAATAAAGAGGCCGGTGAGCGACACGAAGCCAAAAAACTTTCTAACCCTAACTTACCCTAACCTGAGACATATATCAGTACATAGAGACCTGGAATGGAATCGTACAGCAAAATTAGTCACATGAGGGGATTTGAGGGGTCACGAACGTGCCAGTCAGACATCCGCCCTTCCGCTGGACGGAGATTGCCACCCGTCGAGAGGTCCTCCACATACAACACGCCCATCAATCATAGCACCGAGCTTGAAGTGGCATATCGAAATACACCGCTCAATAGCCACTTGACGAAATTACCTCGCCGCTTCTGATTACGTTCGGGCAGAAGGGACGATGTTGAATTTGGATTCGACATGGGTACGAAGGACCAGGCGCTTCAGGCAGCTCACAGTAAGAGTATAAAGTAATCTACTGTAAAGACATGATGATGANCGTTGTAAAGGGTATGGAATGCAACCCCTGTGGGGCGGAGAAACTCTTCGAATTGTGGGTGGGACTTCTACGCTGAACATGAGGGAGAATTTTAAAAAACCGACAGAAGAAACAATGAAAGCGAAAATTCATTCAGTAGCCTTTTTTATGAGATGGAAAAAAGTGTATTTCATCTCCGATGAAAGGAAAGGCTCATCCGTAATCGCCAAACAGATCTGCAATCGCGTTTTCAAGGAACGAATCGGGACTTCATTCATGCTCCAGAATTGTTCAGAGAAAGTTTTTGTAAAATTTGGTCATGCCGCTGTAAGAAAATAATTTTAGGACGAGTTTTCACATATTTAATAAACCTTCTGAAGCCAAAAAGATCAAGATGACAGGGAAAGGCAAGAAAATTCGTACAGAAAGGATACGATATCTGTACGATCTGGGCAGAGGAGGAGCTCAGAAGAGGCATGTCGATTCACAAGTCAAAAGCGATAAGATAACTCGTCCAAGTCTAAAGATTCTGCCTCGATGTTAAAAAACTGCCGACGAATGCTTGTAATTCAGCTCAAATGATGAGAAACTCGGGCATGGAAGAGCCATTAAGTCTATGTAAGAGCAGTTATATGTTGATTGCGGTCTAAATCGGGCTATTGCCTCATAAGACTCGGTGGCGTGGCGTCGTAATGATTAGATCCGTTACGGCCGTGAATAGTGAACATAAAAAGGGGCGGCGACTAGATTAGAATCGTGTCCATTACATCATGACATCTCGCCCCTGCAGCTCTGTCCCATTTGGCCGCGACAGCCGAAAGAGGCCTAACTTGTGGGCGTCGAATTCTCGGAGATAACTGCTTCGGAGATATCAAAGTTGTACGAATGAGAAAAGCCTCATTGATGAGCGGAAAAGGGGAGAACGGGGGACAGATCTCCTTGGCCCATAACTGGCCAGTAATCCGGCCTAATTGGAAGAACCCGGCTATACTTCTGAAAAGCAAGAGAAGCTCTTAATTCTACATAGTTCCTGCAGCATCACTTAGTGAAGTACCACCCGATGGAACAGCCACGACAAGAATCGAGCGAGCCTGATAAGGCTGTCCAGTCGCGATCGTAATAGCCATCACAAAACTTACGTCAATGAGCCACAAGTCTAAACATCTGCCTCTTAAGCAATCTAAGACGAGAAGTAGTTGTTTTTCCTAGACGGGCACTTTCTTACGTAAACATTCCCCACGGCCTGGCTTAAGAACGAACAAACATCAAACGGATTCACTTAATCTCAAAGCGCTCATTGCTCTCAACAGTTTTACATCCTACAAAGTACTTAGCATTGTTAATCAGTAACGTCCTAGGGTTCTTTGGTATTACCAGGCCGGTTGTGCTGCTGGCCTAAGCAAATAAGCGATTTAGAAGGAGTTCGACTTGGGTTATGTCATGCCATACCTCAAAACAATCCCAGTACTTGACTCTCCAATTCGACCAGATGCAGGTTAAGTAAAGCTTAATCTTCGAACCCAGCTGTGCTGCCTGGACTGGCGAAAACGAGCCAATCAAGGGTTGATCAACACAAGTTCCAGCTACTCAGCTCTACCCTCAAAATCGTCTCGAGGAAGACCTTCCGCCCCCGTCCTCATAAATTTTCTCAACTACTAGCCCTCACCGCATCGCGTAAGCTTATGACTCTTAAGCAGTAGGATTGTCTAGTAATGCTCAGAATCAACATGACGGTTCCGCTCAGCCCCAAGAGGCATGCTGCCACACTGCCCTGAGAAGCACAGGCGCCCGAGATGACACATGTTTATCAAGAAGGTCTACAAAACGGAGTACTCAAAAAGTCGCTTTGAAGTGAATTCTGAGCGGCNCAAACTTCTGAATACAAAATAATCTACTTCCTTTGTTAGGTCTGTGAGGCTTCTCCCTGTTTGCCACTCCAGTTCCTGGAAGAAGGGGGAAAGGCTCACTCCTAAAGGCTGCATTGTTACTCACATGGTCCAAGTGCGGATTCAGGCCCAGCACGAGCATATGGTGGGGGAAACGGCCGTTCTCAGCCAAAGTCTTGGTGGTAACTTTTTTGTCGGAGAACTTCTTCGAGAACTTTCTTTGGATAGAAGGACATTGGTATAGACATCAGTAACCTACATAATTCAATGTGAGACGTTGGTAACCTACATAATTCAATGTGAGACGTTGGTATGCATTGAAAAGCCTCCACAATTGAAAAGTAAATATGCAAACACCGTTCTAAATGTACCAATTAGGCTCGAGCATTCGTGAATTCTTTGTAAGAGTACTTCGATGTATTTATGGTTGGCAACCAAATGGGTAGGCTTAGTCTAAATGTACCAATTAGGCTCGAGCATTTGGAATTCTTTGTAAGAGTACTTCGATGTATTTATGGTTGGCAACCAAATGGGTAGGCTTAGGTGAAGTGGAGGGCGAAATGGTGAAGTGCCGCATGTCCCGGTAAGCATCGAATTCCAGCTTGAAACCATCCATCCGACCAAGCTTCCGTCCCATCCCTCCCTCCTGCGGTCAATTTCCTCTAGTAAAATAGAAACACTGACGTATGAACCAGATGGCCACCGCAGGTATGTGTGGGCCACATGCGCCTTAAAACGTCACCGCAATTCAGAATGGAAGACAAACGCGAGGCGCATCGCAAAGGCGTGATTGATAAGCTTCAGAAAGCTTGGTCCTTCTTGCTGCATGCTCGTTCCCTTTGCTGCTACATTTTTCGCTATATTTAATCTTTCCATACCGATGTTAAGAGGTGATTGTGGACAGCTGATCGGTATCCGAACGGCCCAGCCCCCGGTTGCTGCATGCTCGTTCCCTTTGCTGCTACATTTTTCGCTATATTAATCTTTCCATACCTGATGTTAAGAGGTGATTGTGGACAGCTGATCGGTATCCGAACGGCCCAGCCCCCGGGACGATGGCCCGTATGGAACTGGCTTCCTAGCTACGTGATATAGAGCTCTTTATAAGCGAAGATATCTCATTTCCTGAAGGGAAATGCTTGTGAAATGAAGTTTCGATGCGAAGTTTGGATCTCAAGAGATTAGACCTACGTCAAACAAGCCGAAAACACTGTAAACAACAATACATCGTGGCCATTACTCAAATTAGAACTCACAATTGACGCTGACAACAACTACAACTCAATCTTAACAATGATGAAATGTGCCTCGGCATTTGTAAAGGAGAGAAATAGAGGTGGTGATGACCCTCATTAAACCCTCATTAAAACTGATCCCTGGCAATTAGCATAATGTCAGCGACTTTTCCGAACCCACATGCTTTTGACATGGTACATCCTCTGGGGACTGTGCCACGAAATGGGCGGGTTCACATCTACGGCCTAGGGATCGAATTCCTGATCGGTACCCGCCATCCAACCACAATTGGTACTAACTTGTCTATAAAAAGAAAATACGCTAGCTTATGCACCAGATAACCTCTGTATTTCGCTGTACAGGCTTAGTACGCATCCTAAATGTTCGGAATTTTTAATGGAAGCTGGATG